TTGTATAAGTGGATTAAGAGTGGATGAAGTTGTAACAGATATTCCGAGCCTGATTGTTAAATTTGTTAGAAACAGGTAAATGGTTTAGCTTTGTTTTTGCAATTTTAAATTTTTTATGTCATTATTTAGTAGTCGTCCTGCGTCTACTTTCTTCTCCCGTGGTGACTTAGTAATACTCTCTTCCACCTCGCGGGCTGGAATCGGCTTAGCATTTATTAACTCTATGGATGGTGTGTTTTTTATTTTTGAAATATTACTGTGTTTTCCGCTATTGCTTCTTTACGTTTCGGCAACGAATATTGCACTTTACTCAGCTCTTTCAGATGAAGTCGTTGAAATTGCTGCTGAAATTGATGGAAGTCGTCTTGATCGTTCTGTGGAGTATATCCTTGATCGGTATGACAGGAATTCTGTCCCATCTACAAATTTGGGAAATGTAGCGTTATTAATGCAGGATACGCCACATACGTAATTCTTTGCACAGTGATTTATCTGTTTCTGAATGGATTTTTGTTTCTTTTTCTCAAAACTGATAATTGTTTTTCAACTTTATCAAGCTCTCATTTTTTGCTTTTAATTCATAAAACAATTTTTGTCAAGTTTTAGGCAGAAATTACGATCACTTATTGTCGGCACAGAAGAACCAAAATTCACTAAAATGCGGAAAGATGATTTGCTGCAGATTTCTTCGTTGGTGAGGCTTCTGAACCGTGAACAGGGTCTTGCTGTCGTCAGGTCATTGATGGCAGAAGACTACGTTGTGGTAGAGGGTTTCCCCGGGTCTGGTAGGTGACTTCAATAACTTCATTTTTGGTTGGTTCATCAAGTATTTTAGGCAAGTTGGTATTTATTGAAGGTAAAACTAGCACTATCGTTGTCTTGATCCAGTGTTTACTACGGCTAGGTCGCACGGTTTTGCTTACATCGTACACTCATTCTGCTGTTGACAATTTAGTTTCAAAGTTGTTAAAGGTATACGCTTCGGTTACTTATACAATTTCCTTTTATGTTTGATTACTGACTGTTAAAAGTAGTATTCTGATAATTATTAATTTCTTCTCTATTTACGGCTGTCAGTATTGAATGGAATTTATTGTAGTATGTGGAACCTGATCAAATTCTACGTCTTGGAAGTGCGTCAGCTATCAAGCCAGAGCTGTTGAAGTTGACACTCACTGAGAAACTTGTTTCGGCAACAAGTCCAGAGGAGAAATTTATTCTTGCGAAACGTATCTTAACTAAAACGGTGAAACTCTTTCATTATACTTTTTGACTTCCTCTGCTGTATTATTTGCGTTTGTCAAGTGAAGCAAGTAGAACTAGCTAATTGTAAAAACTGAATAGTCTTTTAGCCTCTAGTAGCTTGCACTTGCCTAGAGGTCGCATCAAACATTCTTTTTTCTTACCGACGGTTTTCCGCAGCTGTTATTGATGAGGCTTCACAATCTCTTGAAGCCACTATAATTCCTCCGATCGTTGTTTCAAATGCTTTTATTCTTGTGGGCGATTCGCAACAATTATCTCCACTTGTCCGGTCGAAAGAAGCTAGGTCAGCTTATTTATTCTGTTCGATAACAGTACGTACTTCGCTTAACTAGTCTTTTTTTTAAAGAAATGAAGGTATGGCTGTTTCTTTGATGGAACGTTTAAAGAGCCATGAAGCAGCGACAGTAACACTTCGATCTCAGTATAGAATGAACAGGTTTCTTAACACTGCGTTTTATGAACTTTTTTTGCTTTTTTTTTTTTAAACTTGATGTTTTAGTGCAATTGTCAGCTTCAGCAGTAGGCTGTTTTATGAGGGGAAGATGGTATGTGCAAATGAGCAGGTTGCCAATTCCTGTTTGTCTTTGTCTTGGGAGAACCTGAGTTTAAACATTATGGCGGGTATGTTCGCTTTGTTTTTGTTTATTATTTCTGTTACTAATGTTTTTTTGTTTCAGATCCGCGTTCGTTGATTATATCTGGTGCACTCGAAGACTCTGTTGTTTTTATAGATACTAGGTCTTATAAATTTCAACGATTCAGATGTGAAAAAATTAAGAATTTATGCTATAACAATGGGGAAATGTTGTTAGTGAAAGAACTATGCGACCTTCTTATAACCGTAACCTTTCCTGCAGTCGTCTTTGTTTAGTGTTATTTTGAGTTATGGCCGTTCTTTTACCTAGTTGACGTGGTTTTTAATTAGCATTTTAGCTCAAAATTTTTTAGCTTGGACTTCCTAGTCAAGACGTCGGGGTTATTTCTTTTTATCGTTACCATGCTAATAGACTTCGTGAATTGCTTCAAACTCCAATTGAAGTTAACACCGTAGATCAGTTTCAAGGACTGGATAAAGTACTGGTTATTGTGAGCTTTGTATGGACTGAAGGCTGTGATGCTGGCCGCAGTGAATTGCTTTCTGACTTTCGCCGCTTAAATGTTGCTTTAACGAGGGCCAAGAATAAACTTATATTAATTGGTTGTTTGCAGTCTATAAGAAGGTTGGCCTTGCATTTATTATTTGTTGTTGTAAATGAAAGGTTACCAAAAATTTTTTGTCAAGTCTGGCATTGAATTTACGTAGAATGTGGTAGAAGATTTTCAAACGTTTTTTGTAATATTAATCTTGGAGTTTGTTATCCAAATGACTTGTCTTTTTGTTTTCGAAGCTAGGTTAGGCGCGGTGATGGTCCTCTGTAGAAAGCATTGGACAGGAAGCAAATTTTTTGTTGTTTTCTTGGAAGTTGTGCACTTGAAAATTGTATTTTATCTTGAAGAATGGTCTTGAATAACGGTTTGCTCAATTTCAGCTATCCAGATCTAAATGCTTTTGCCGAGCTGATCTCTGAGAGGAATATTGTCGGTGTTGATGATGTTTTTGGGCACTTGGCAGCTTGACTAGCTTTAACTGGGATTCTCAAAGGATTTAGAGATTGTTTTTTTGTATAATAGTTTTTTAACCAATTTTTTCAACTTTGTTTATGTGCTCAATTTTGATGTTTCCAAATAGTCTCAATTTTTTCAAGTGTGATGCTACAGTTTTATATGATTTCCTTGGATTCGAAGTTAGCTGTTTCGGTTTCAAAACGCTTTCCTAAATTGTTTCGGGTTTATTGTTATTAAGCTTCCTAGTTGTTGTGCGTAATTTTGATGTTTAAAGTAGCGCCTGCTCGTACCACTTAAACTCGTTCACTAAAAAGCTTTCATAAGGATATCCGTTTATTCTATTCGATAGAATATGTAACATGGAAGACCGTGCAGCTTTTATGTTAAACAAGAATTACAGCATTTGATAAGGTTAAAGTAGACTCGCTTTTTGTCGCCTTTTTGTTTTTATGATAAAGTAGCACAATCTTTCGTGGTAAAGTGCATGGTAATGACATTTAATGACATTGTTCCAGGTTGCTTTTTAGATGGCGTCAAATCTGCTAGCGGTCGATATCGCGGCATCTTGTTGTTGTTATCAAACTGCTTATTGTTTTTTTCAGCTTTATTTTGGTTTTTCTCGGTTTGCAAGGTGCTTCTCAGTATGTAGCTGGATGTAACTGTTCGCTCGTTTAATTGGTTTTGGAGAACAGAAGTGCTTGCTTGACGAGTAGCTTATTACATTATGGTAAGGTCTTGTGTCACTGAACAGCGATCACAGGACTTATTTACA